TGGCATAGAAGAACAGAAATGAAATCCTTAAGGAAACATTCCCCCAAATTCTTTTATTTATGAATTCACAGATAAGTTATCAAGTGCTTCCTATGTGCCAGGCATTACTAGATGCCTGGGAAACAGGCTCCTACAAGATCGCTGGCCCTAGTCCAGTAGGAAAAGGGACAGAAACCTACATTCACAAATAATTGTTACAAACTGTGATAAATTCTAGGAAGAAAATCAGATCTTGTGATAGCTTCTTATAAGGGTTTCCTGTCTATTGATCAGGCAATGACATTTTAAACTAAAGTCTGAAGAAAGCTATAAACCAGATTCCAGAAGTGAGAGGAAGGGGAGAAGTTGCATGTGCAAAGGTCCTGAGCTTGGGACGATCATGTCGTGAGGCTGGAGGCATTGAAGGATGAGCATGATTGGAGCTATGTAAGGGAGGGAAGTCAGCCAGAAGCAGACAGCAGAGAGGTGGACAGGAGCCAGATCTTGCTGTGCCTTGTCAATATGGGTTTTATTCTCAAGAAATCGAGATGACGCTATATAATCTTAGAGGGACTGGGTGTGACGAAACAGTTAAAAGCTCCTACTGGCTGAGGTATAAAGCATAAACCATAGTGGACTGAGAACAGAAGCAGATCTCAGCAGTTAGGAAGCTACTGTTGGCATTCTGTGAGAGATGGCACCTTGGATTACTGGGGGTGGCCAGGTGCATTCAGGGAATGGAACCAAGTTCTAGATGTTTTGAAGGTAGGCCCAGGAGGATGTGGGGATGGAGTGAGGCAGAGAGGAGGCCATGGCAACTCCTAGGTCTGTCGTTTGAGCAAGGTAAGCTATTCAGAGCCTGGGGTGTCTCAGGAGTTCTGTTTGACCTTGAGGTGTGGGGCTGCTGGACAGCAGGCAGATGGAGCTGTCCAGAGGTCACCAAGGGACACGGGGAACCCAGACCCTTGGAGCAGAAGTCCGGATGGAGTCTTTCTGCCTTTCAGCAGCGAGGCAGGCCAGGAGTTAGGTTCCAGGGGCAGAATTTCTCTGAGCGCCTTCCTGGCTCTGCGAACCCTGGGCAGGTTATCTTCTGTTGATTTCCTTGTCTGTAAAATAGGACTTGTGCCATCTGCTGTATGCCTCCCGACTGTTTGAGGAACGCTTTTAAAAGTGAGGGGTTGTAAAAACACCTGGCATCAGGCATTTGCTAACCAAAGGCTGGCCTTCAGGAAGGGGTGCGAGTTGTTCATTCAGAGTTCAGCCACTTAACTCTCAGATGCCGGATGGACATATCAGGACCTTGCCCTAGGTGCACAGATGGGGAATAGTGTGGTGAAGGGTACTAGCAGCCAGGGCTGAGCTGGAGCAGTGGGAAGGAACCCTGGAAGGCTGAGTTGAGTGGGATTTCAGTGGAGGAGGAAGGAGGAAAGGCATTTTAACTAGAGGGCAGAGCTGATACCAAGACCCCAGCACAGGAAGAACCGAGGAGCTCAGGAAAGGAGTGATTCTGGTGGGACCTGAGCCTCTGAATCTCTTTGCCTGCCCCTGTGGTTGCAGTGGGTTAAGGGTTGGTTTGCTAACCACAAGGTTGGTGGTTCAAACCCACCATCTATCTGCTCCTTGGGAGAAAGATGAGTCAGTCTGCTCCCTTATAGACTGCCAGCCTGAGAAATCATAAGGAGCAGTTCTGACCTCTAGGGTCCCTATGAGTCAGAATGGATGCATGGCAGTGGTTCCATAGTGCGGAGGGAGAAACCCCTCCTCTCCCTGGGAACTGGAGAGGGACAGAGGCAGAACTTGGAGCAGAACTCAGGATGGTGTCTTTCAGCCTAACTGTCAGGGTTCTAGGGGGCCTGGTGGTATTGTGGGTTAAGCATTGGTCTGCTCACTGCAAGGTCACCAGTTCAAATCCACCAATTTCTCCAAGGGAAAAAGATAAGGCAGGCTGTGTCCATAAAGATTTACAGCCTGGGAAACCCTATGGGGGAGTTCTACTCTGCCTTATGGGGTTGCTATGAGCCCGAAGTGACAAGACAGAGTGCATTCTGGTTAATCAGGGTCCTGGGATGGTGCTGTTGGATAAGCACTCAACTGCTAACCACAAGGTCAGTGGTTCAAACCTACCAGCTGCTCCTCGGAAACTATACAAGGATCTATCTAACCCTGGGGCCAGGTCACATGGGAAGGTGGTGACAGTTGGGGAGGGGGCTAGAGCAGAGTGGGGGGTGGGAAGGTGGGGGGCTTTCAGCTGAGGGGAAGGAGGAGTTCACTAGCCCAGCCAGCCATCTTCCTGCCAGAATACCTTGCCTGCGGGTGTAGGGAGAACTGGTCCATCCACATGGGCGCTGAACTGAGACCCAGGAAAAGGGTGGACTTTCTCAGAGTTCGGCAGAGTCTGACTGGGAGCCCAGGGCCCCTGACTCCAGAAGGAAGGAGTTGAGGATCTCAAGCTTCCTGGGCTTGGGTTTTGGATTTTGGGTCATAGGGGACCTGGTGGGACCCTGACAGAGGAGGACTAGCAGGTCCTCACCGGCTCGCCCAGGGGCCACTGAGTCCCAGGCTGAAAGTCCCTGCTGGTGGGCAAATCAACGGGGCTCTGACCCTCAGCCACTTGGCCACCGCAGGTGATCCTGGCGCTATCCAACCACCTGGGGGCGGTGGAGTCGGAGAAACAGAAGCTGCGGGCTCAGGTGCGGCGCCTGGTCCAGGAGAACCAGTGGTTGCGTGAGGAGCTGGCGGGGACACAGCAGAAGCTGCAGCGCAGTGAGCAGGCCGTGGCCCAGCTGGAAGAGGAGAAGCAGCACCTGCTGTTCATGAGCCAAATCCGCAAGTTGGACGAGGATACCTCCCCCAACGTGAGCCCCACCCACTTACGGGGAGGGACCGCCGCTGACCCTGCCTTCCCCTGACACCACTCCGTTTTCTCCCCCTCCCCCCCAGGAGGAGAAGGGCGATGTCTCCAAAGACTCTCTGGATGACTTGTTTCCCAATGAGGATGAGCAGAACCCAGGTACCCATGGGCAGTAGTTCTGGGGTGGGGAAAGGGAGGGCCATGTGAGCTCTTGGTCCTGGGAGCCACCGAGTGGCCATCATGCTCATTACGCCCCACCTGTGACAATTTAAGAGGCCAAGTGGCCATCATGCTCATTACGCCCCACCTGTGACAATTTAAGAGGCCAAGTGGCCATCATGCTCATTACGCCCCATCTGTGACAATTTAAGAGGCCGATTCGTCCATGTTGCCTTATCCCCTCCAGCTCTACTGGGGGCAGATGTCACAGTTAAGAGAGCAGGCAGATCTGCAGCAAATTGCTCTGGCTACCGGCAGTTTCCCTTCTGTGAGCACCCCTGCTCGGCCACAGTCTCTTCTGATTAAAAGGGGGTCAGAGCAACAGCGTGTGTCCACAGTATTGAGCACGCACTCGGTGTGGAGCCTTTATGCTACCAATGAGGCAGCTGGGGCTCGCAGCTAGGGGACTCCAAACTGCTCTTCCTGTGGCTTCCCTGCCAGTGAGCTAGGCTGGAGTAACAAGACCCCTCTACAGAACGGGAAACCAAGGCAAAGCAAATAGTGACTTGCCCAGGGCCACCTGTGCTGGCCCCGCCATATGGCTAGTTGATACCTCTGACCTTCTGCCTTCCAGCCCCCAGCCCTGGTGGAGGGGATGTGGCTGCCCAGCATGGGGGCTACGAAATTCCAGCCCGACTACGCACCCTGCACAACCTAGTGATCCAGTACGCCTCACAGGGCCGCTATGAGGTGGCCGTGCCGCTATGCAAGCAGGCACTGGAAGACCTGGAGAAAACATCAGGCCACGACCACCCTGATGTGGCCACCATGCTGAACATCCTGGCGCTGGTGTATCGGTGAGGGACCCCGCTGACCCTGAGTCACAAACCCTCAGCAAAGAGAGGCAGAGATTGTATCCACAGGGAGCCTCAGTCAAGTGGAGAGAAAGGCTCAGACCTAATCCGGGAGGACTCGGGGGTATCAGGTGCCAGTACAGTGTCTGCAGGGCTGGAATAGGGACTTTGGGGAAAAAGATCAGCTAGCCCAGAATACAAGAGACTCAGGCAGAGAAGTTCCCCTGCAGAAAGCAACCTGAACAGAAGTGTAAGGGATCCAGCCCAGGGTACTGGAAGGAGGCAGGCTGGGAGGGTGTGAGACTGAGGGGTCCTTAACATGGGAAGGGAGCTCCAGAGAGCCCAGGCCGGCCAGGTCTCCCCATGCTCTGGATCATGCGTACTCAACAGTAAAAACAAGTGTGACCACAGTGGGCGGTCACAGACTACCCAGTGGGGGACCTGGGGCTGGAGGATGGCCCTCAGCATGCTTCCACCCACTCCCAGGGATCAAAACAAGTACAAGGAGGCTGCCCACCTACTCAACGATGCCTTGGCCATCCGGGAGAAGACACTGGGCAAGGACCACCCAGCTGTGAGTGAGGGTGGGGTGGCTACCCCCTGCCCCAGAGCTCCCAGACCCCAGAGCACCTGCCAAGCTGAGCCTTGGCCATGGAGCATCCACTGTCCTCACCCCCAGGTGGCCGCAACACTGAACAACCTGGCAGTTCTGTATGGCAAGCGAGGCAAATACAAGGAGGCAGAGCCGCTCTGCAAGCGGGCACTGGAGATCCGGGAGAAGGTGGGAGTAGGCAGGTGGGAGGCTGGACTGGAAGGGGGACCAGGTTGGCCCTGCATGGCCACTGAACCCAGCCCTGGCTGCTGTCCCAGGTCCTGGGCAAGTTCCACCCTGACGTGGCCAAGCAACTGAGCAACCTGGCTCTACTGTGTCAGAACCAGGGCAAGGCCGAGGAGGTGGAGTACTACTACCGGCGGGCCCTGGAGATCTACGCCACGCGCCTCGGTCCTGACGACCCCAATGTGGCCAAGACCAAGAACAACCTGGTGCCCTGGGGCTGGAGGGGAAGGGAGGGGGAGAGGAAAGGATGGCTTCCTGCTCATCCACTGGCTCTTGCCCCCAGGCTTCCTGCTACCTGAAACAGGGCAAGTACCAGGATGCCGAGACGCTCTACAAGGAGATCCTCACTCGTGCTCATGAGAAGGAGTTTGGCTCAGTCAATGGTGAGCCACAGCCCACGTCCCCAGCCCCCAGCCCCACTTCCGCAGTGCACAGAGGTATGCACACAGCATACACAACTCAGGTGGAAGCACATGCATGTACAGCTCATATGGGAGCTCTCACACACATGATCCCTAATTCACACGTCCACCATTTACGTGAGAGCTTCCACATACAACTCATGTGGTTGGGGCCCTGCTGTACTGCCCACACCGCCCTACCATCCACACCACACACCCATGCTCTCCATCTGCAGTCTCTCCCTTTCTCTACTGGGCCACACCTGCCCATCTTAAGGACCCGATCCAAGTGTCCCCCCTCCAGGAAGCCATCTTCTGGCCCTGGAAGATTCGGGGGTCCTCGGAGTCTGGTTCATTACTCACGTCTAGTGCTGTGGGCTAGAGGTGTCTGTCCAGAGGAGACTTGGTGATGTTTAGAGTCTGTCTCACTCATTTAACAAAGGCCACCCCTGGCCCTTCTTGGTGCCCCAGTGCTTGTCCAGGAGGAGAGGCTCTGAGAAGCTGGTGACAGCCTCCTTTCTCCCCCAGGGGACAATAAGCCCATCTGGATGCACGCAGAGGAACGGGAAGAGAGCAAGGTAGCTCTGAGGGCAGGGCAGGTGTGTCAGGGTGTCAGGTGGCTGGGATGTGTGGAAGACAGCACCTTCTACCCTGCCCTGCCCTGCCCATTCTCCCCCCAGGATAAGCGCCGGGACAGCACTCCATATGGAGAATACGGCAGCTGGTACAAGGCCTGCAAAGTAGACAGGTGAGGGTGGCGGGGATGCAGCAGAGAAGGGCATCTGAAACACCCCCTCTTCTACATGGTCCATTTTCAAGGCACCGGAACAGCCTAATTCTCTCCCTCCGTCATGGGTTTCCCAGTTCTTTGGCTTAGTGGCAGCATTTGCTGGGTCCTTGGGGCCCTGGGGCCCTAAGACCAGGTCTTCAACCCAAACTAGGAGCTTGGTACAGGGTTCAACACAAAGAAGGGGCTCCACTATCCGCTGATGGTTCCTCAGGGTGCAGTGTGAACTGGGTGCCCACTAGGTCCCAGAGACTATAGACGGTGGCATCGCCTCATTGTCTCTCCCACCCACAGCCCCACAGTCAACACCACTCTGCGTAGCTTGGGGGCCCTATACCGGCGCCAGGGCAAGCTAGAAGCCGCGCACACTCTGGAGGACTGCGTCAGCCGCAGCCGCAAGCAGGTGGGGCTCTAGGCATGGGAGGGGGTGGGGTCTAGGTGGCCCACCCAGACCTGATGCATATGCCCCTTCCTCAGGGCCTGGATCCTGCCAGTCAGACCAAGGTGGTGGAATTACTGAAAGACGGCAGTGGGGGGCGTGGAGACTGCCGCAGCAGCCGAGACGTGACTGGGGGGGGCGGTTTTCGGGAGGACCTGGAGGACACAGGGCCTACAGCCGAGTGGAACGGGGTGAGTGTGTGGCTGGGGTGGGCTGGAGGCCTGGTACCTTACAACTAGAGACAAGCCTGAGCCCCCACAGGATGGCAGCGGCTCCCTGCGGCGCAGCGGCTCCTTCGGGAAGCTCCGGGATGCTCTGAGGCGCAGCAGTGAGATGCTGGTGAAGAAACTTCAGGGGGGTGGTCCCCAGGAGCCCCCTAACCCTAGGTGAGCCCCTCAAAAACCCACCCAGCAATCCCAGATGAGCCCTAAGAATGAATCTCGATGCCCACCACCCACCAGTTCTGCTCCCTGCCAGCATCTCCCCCAAACCTCAGCCTGACCCATGCCCCCACTCTCCCCAGTTCCACTCTGGGCAAACCTCGACCTGCTTTCCCCTCAGGATGAAGCGAGCCAGCTCCCTCAACTTCCTCAACAAGAGTGCTGAGGAGCCCGTCCAGGTATGGCCAAGCCTCATTCCGTCCCAAGCCTGGCTAGTCCCCTAGCAACGTCTGTTTGCATCCTGGCTTTGGGGTAAACAGAAACAGGCAAATGGGAGGACCCTTACTCCAGCCAGAGCATCTGCCTTTGCCCCAGGGCCTGACTGACTAGGTCACTCTTTCTGTCCCCTGAGTCACTGCCCCCTCTGCCCACAGCCTGAAGGAACGGGCCTCTCTGACAGTCGCGCCCTCAGCTCCAGCTCCATGGACCTCTCCCGGCGAAGCTCCCTCGTGGGCTAATGCGGAAGGGGCAGCCAGTCGCCAGAGCCTCCACCGGCACTGCCCCCAGCCCTGCGCATGGGCCTGCTGCTTGTCCTGACCGTCTCTCCCAAGGACCCCAGTTTTTTCTGTTCAATCTCAGGGTAACCCCCTCCCTCATCATCTCAGCCTGAGCCCTGGAGGCTGGGCCTGCCTGCTCCAGCCCCGCCCCTTATTTATTCCTGCCAGCAGGATCCCTTTCCCCAGCAGGGGCAGTGAGAGGAGCTGACAAGGTCTCTAAGATACTTAGCACCCCTCCCAGACTCCAGAGCTAAGACTACCAAGTACCTGCTCCCGAGCACTCTGCCCTCCCCAGGCCGTTGCTTCTGTATATAGAGAAATAAGTTATTGGCCACGCTTCCTCCCACCCCCGCAAGTCCACTGTACCCATCGGACGCCCCACCATTCTCTAGTGGTACCTACCGCCCAGGCCTTAATCACCCACGTTCTGCGTGGTGGAACCTCCCAGGCCCCACAGCTAGGGGAATTTCCCTCCAAAAGGGTTCCCTTAGCCTCGCGCGCCTTGCCTCAGAGGGGCGCGTCTCCTCCGCCATCAACCCAAGTTCCAGGCCTGGGGAACCCCTCCCCAGCCACCCACCGCCAGGCCCGGCCTCGAATCCCTGCCTTATGCACTGCCCCTCCTGTCCACTTGGCCCCGCCGGTACGGCCTGACTCCGCCCCAGGCCCCGCCCACCGAGCCATCCCACCACGCCCCCTCCTTGCCTGAGTCTTCCCGCGAGGGGCAGAGATGGCCCCTGAGGCAGGAGGGGCTGTCACGGTTTGGGGGGGTGAGGCGGTCGCTCCATTTTCAGATGTTGCTGTAGAAATAAAGACGGTTTGAATCTGAGCCAGCCTTCTTTGGGAGCGGAGACCAAAGGGTGGAGAGACGGATGGGGAAAGGTCGCGCTCAATGAAGAGTGTGTGGTATACACGTGCGGCACCCTGGCAGCTGGGGCTGATACTCTGCCCTTGTCCAAAATTGTTTGAGGCCCTTAGGTTCTGAATCCGGAAGTCCCAGGAAAGGTTCAGGTTTCCTCCCAGCCTCCGGAGATGTAGGGAGCACCGACTTTGAGCTTGCTGCCCACTTCCTTCCTAAGCTGTTTAACCTCGAGCGAATTCCCTGAGCATCAATATTTCTCATCTGTAAAATGTGGGCGATAATACCCCCTGGGACTGCACTGTAAGGGGCTCCCAGCACACAGTTAAGTGCCTTCGAGTTGGTTCCAACTCATAGTGACCTTGTACAGGGTTTCCAAGGCTTTTTAAAGCTCTGCAGGAACAGAAAGTCTCAGCGGTCTCCCACGGAGCGGCTAGTGGACTCGAACTGCGGACATCGTGGTTCTCAGTCCAGTGTTTTCGTATGGAGCCACCGCGCTCCCCCATCAGACAGAACCATAGATAAATGATCGTGTTTTACTAGTACTCACCTTTTCATCTAACCCTGGATATTGGAAAGAGTAGGTATGACCGCCTCTGTCAGACAAACGTGAAGAGGAAGGGGTGGACTTTGGCTCCAGGACGCCGGCAGGTTTTCGAGTGCCGTCCACGAGCACGGTTACGTCTACGGAGAGAACTACACGCCCCAGAAGACAGTGCACTAGAGGGTGGGAAGTGAGAGCGTCCGATTTACGCCTGCGCAGCGGGGGTGGGGCCGTGGATACTGTGAGAGACTACAAGTTTCAAGAAGCACCGCGGCGAGGTCTAAGTCGCAAGTGTTTGCGTCTGCGCGTCGCGGGCGGGGCCTCTACGGCGGAGAGGCCACCATCTTGGAACGGGAGGCGGAGCAGAGCCGACTGGGAGCGACCGAGCGGGCCGCTGCTGCCGCCATGAACCCCGAATAGTGAGTGAGCCCCGCCCGTGCCGTCCGGCGCAGCCTCGATCCGGAGTACGGGGCTGTACACTTAACCGGGGTTATACGGTCCGGGTCAGGACTGCACGGCGCCCCTACATCCGGGTCTCTCTTCCGCTGGGCCCCCCCCCTCACATCCGGGTCCTGCCCCTCCCCCCGGGAGACCCTGGACCCGGTGTTGACACCCCGAATTCTCGTACCCCGTGCCCAAAGACGGGCCGCCCAGAGGGGCACTGCTTCAAGCCCAAGGCATCCATCGTACCGGGCCTTAACGGCCAGATGACTCGCAGCCCCGGTTTCTCAGCCTCAGTTTCCCCACCTGCTGTTTGAAGGTGGCGGCGGCGGCCTTGGTGCGGAGTACGGGACCGGCATCTGGAACCTGTCACCATATTCTCTGATCTCAAGTATAAACTCGGGCCTTTAAGTCGGCCCGTAAGTCAGTCCCTCTGCCCTGCCCGAGCCCAGACTCATCGCGGGAGGCCTCGGGCCGCCGCTCCGGGCCGCGTCCCCTGCAGGTCTTCCACCCCGGGGTTGTGGCCGCGCTTAGGCCGCCCCACCCTGCCGCTCCGGCGGGCTGCCCCTCCCGCCCCCCTCATCTTTGCGCAGGACCCTTGATACCACCGGCACAACCATTCTCTTGACTGTTTCTTGGATTCAGTGGGCTTGTTTGCTCCCGGCAAATTTGCCTAACTTCTTGGTCACTCCCCTAGGGCTAGCTGGCCCATATTATCACTGACAGTTTCCCCAAAGTATCAGGTTTCTGCCACTTTCTTTTCCTCCTCTGGGTCCAGGCCGCAACTTTCCATGGGGAAGGGTGAATCGCTGAACAGAATCAGGGAACAGAGAAGAAACCCGCTGGCTGACAAAGTGTCTTTAGGGTCTCAGTCTTGTGTCCCAGGGCTTCCCTGCGGGGGGGAGGGGGGGCGGGAAGCTTGTTAGGTGGAAGGAGCAACATTCCTGTCTCAGTACTTAGCACAGCACAGAATCAGGCAAAGTAGGAACTCCGTGACTAATAGCTGCTTTGGGTTGTCACTTGTTGGTCACTTTTGCTTGGTGGCTTCATAGCAGGCTTTTTACAGTTTGTCATTTAGTACACTCTGGACTGGGCTCTGGTTTTCCACTTCTGGCACCTTCACGGAGTGTGTACTGGAGGTTTTATAAGAAGCCCTGATTACGTAGACTTGAGAAGTCTGTGGGGAATCAGAAGAGTAGGCTGCCCCGTTCTGTCACCTACTGACTGTGCTCCTTGGCAGGTCATGTCTGCTTCCCACACCTCCAATCCCTTCTTTGTAAAGTGGGGTTCAGCTGCAGCAAGCTGTGGGCCCTTTGGGGTAGCTTTTGTGGGGGACTGGTGGGAGGGTCTGGTGAGCATCATAGTCCTCCATACAGAGCCCCTACCCCCAGTGTGGTGACAGTTGTGAGGCCAGGATGATGGCAGGTGAGCTCCCTGCCTCCCTTCATGCCTTCCCATTCTCTCTTTCCAGTGACTACCTGTTTAAGCTGCTTTTGATCGGTGACTCGGGTGTGGGCAAGTCATGCCTGCTGCTGCGGTTTGCTGTGAGTAAGAAGTCTCCCAGTACTGTCTGTCTGGGGTCTTAGCTGGCCAGTCAGGGGAAGAGGGGCTACTCCAGAGCACATAAACGTGAGACCTGGAGGACCAAGGACGAAGTTGCAGGATCTGCTGGCCACACATCTGACTGAGCAAGGCAGCAGGGCTGGCCAAATGGGCTGCTGGGGGCTTGGCAATTAGGAGCTCAGCTGGGCTAGGGAGCTGGAAAGGGTATTTCCAAATAGGCCCCAGTCCCATTCACTGGACTGTGGCCTTTCAGGATGACACGTACACAGAGAGCTACATCAGTACCATCGGGGTGGACTTCAAGATCCGAACCATTGAGCTGGATGGCAAAACCATCAAACTTCAGATCGTGAGTGGCACTCGTCCCAAAGACCCTGAGCAGAAAGAGGTGTCTGCTGTGGGTGGGGAGCCGAGCTCTGGACGGGAAGTGAGGATGACCCTGCCCCTCCCTCCCTCCTGTCTCGCAGTGGGACACAGCTGGTCAGGAGCGGTTCCGGACCATCACTTCCAGCTACTATCGGGGAGCCCATGGCATCATCGTGGTGTATGACGTCACCGACCAGGTACCCTGGGCCTCACTGTCCCCTGCCTTGCCTCCTCTGCCCTAGGTCTCTGGCCCCTGGTTCTTCTTCCTCTGCCCTCCTCTTTTGTGATACTGCCCGGAAGGGACAACCCGAGTGTGCAGGGTAGTCTTGACCTTTGGGACACCTGTGCTTTGTGGAGGTTTAGTCAGCTGCTTGGCTCCTGTGGAGGATTGTGGTAGCCTTTTTGTGGAACCCACTGTGGGGAACCCATTGGAGGGCCTGCAACAGGAAGTGAGGAAGCCTTGGCCCCTGGGCCCCTTGTGAGTAACTGTGAGCAGAGGCCGGAAACCCCTGTGTCTATGGCAACAACCTCAGGCATTGGGGAGGGGGGCAGAGGGAAGGCCAGAACCAGCCATACCATAGCAGACGGTCTACAGAAGCCACCACAACCATCGTGCCTTTAGACTCTCAACTGCCAAAGGATGGCCGTGCCACTTGCCCACTTTACAGACCAACAAACGGAGTGAGGAGACTTACTGGGTCCTGAGCTTGTTAAGTGGCTGATGCAGAACACTTGGGTCTTCATTGCCACCCGGGAACACTGGGTTGCTGCTTTGTGCCCCAGGCCAGCTCCTGGCATGTCTCCCCAGCTCCTGAACAAGGAGATATGCCTGAAGTGTGTGCCACTCAGAACCTTCTGACTGCCGAGTCAGTGACCTTGTTTCAGTTC